ATCCCTTTAGCATTATGTAATGTCCATCTTTGTCTCTTGCTATGGCCTTTGTTTTGAAGTCTATTTTGTCTGATAAAAATATTGCTACCCCAGCTTATTTCCATTTGCATGAAATATCTTTTTCCATCCATTTACTTTTAGTCTGTGTGTATCTTTTGTTCTGATGTAGTTCTCTTTTAGACAGCCATGTTTCTGTGTCTATTTTCTATCCTATGTCTTTTTATTAGAGCATTTAAGCCATTTATATTTAAAATGATTATTGATAGATACATATATATTGCCATTTTATTCTTTATAACTATGTTCTCTTCCTCCTCCTCCTCTTCTTCTTCAAGAAGACCCTTTAACATTTCTTGTAATACTGGTTTGGTGGTGATGAACCCCTTTTTCTTTTTCGTGTCTGAGAAGCTCTTTCTTCAATTTTAACTGATAGCCTTGTTGGGAAAAGTAGTCTTGCTTGTAGCTTCTTGCATTTCATCATTTTGAATATTTCATGCCAGTACTTTCTGGACTGAAATGTTTCTGTTAAGAAATCAGCTGACAGTCTTATGGGAGCTCCCTTATAGCTGCCTTTCTCTTGCTGCTTTTAAGATTCTCTCTTTGTAATTTAACCTTTGCCATTTAATTATGATGTGTCTTGGTGTGGGCGTCTTTGGGTTCATCTTGTTTGGGACTCTCTGTGCTCCCTGAACTTGTTTGACTTTTTTCCTTTACCAGTTTCGGAAAGTTTCCCATCATCATTTCTTCAAATAGATTCTTGATCCCGTGCTCTCACCCCCATGATGTGCATGTTGTTACACTTCATGTTGTCCCAAAGATCCCTTAAATTGTCCTCATTTTTTTAAAATTCTTTTTTCTGATCTGATCAGGTGTTTTCTGCTACCTTGTCTTCCAAATCTCTGATTCAGTCATCTGCTTCATCCAACCTACTGTTTATTCTTTCTATTGTAGTCTTCATTTCAGGTATTGTATTCTTCAGTTCTGACTGGTTCTTTTTTATGGTTTCTATGTCCTTTTTATGCTTGCTATCTCTTTGTTGAAGTTCTCACTAAGGTCCTTGAGTATCCTTACAACCATTTATTGAACTCTATATCTGGTAAATTACTTGTCTCCATTTCATTTTTCTCTTTTTCTAGAGACTTCTCATGTTTTTTTATTTGGGGCATGTTTTTTTGTGTCCCCATTTGGGCTTTTTTGTGTTTGTTTCTATGTATTAGGTAGATCTGCTATGACTCTCATACTTGGTAGGGTAGCCTTATGTAGTAGGCGTCCTGTGGGACCTAGTGATGCAGTCTCCTTGATCACCTGAGCTGGGTGTTCCAGGAATGTCCTTTGTGGCCCCATCCTTTCTTAGCAAAAGCTTAAAAATTATCATGAACACCCAGATAAGTATCAAAATACACCTTTAAGCAAAGGTCTTTAATATCTTTAAACACCTGCCCCGTGTGGGCTGCCTTACAACAGCTGCATTACAGTATGAATGTTTTCCTGTTTCACACATTGCCTTTTTGAGAAGGAAAATAAAAGGCATATAAGGAAAGAATAAAAGAAAAGAAGGGAAAATAGGATGATGCAGAAAGTCTTTTTGTGACTAGAATAAATGCCTGAAAAAGAAAACCCTGAAGTAGAGAGGAGATACCATTTCCCTGAGCTTTGCTAAATCTGGGCATGTGAAACCTTTGTACGGTATCAGTTATACTTGGTGCATTGTGCCAGCTGGACTCTATGGCAACGGACTCGTCTTTTGTGTCCTGCTGATAATGTGCCAAATTGCCTATTTAGAATACTGACAAAAGAACGTCTTCTCATGCAGAGGTCCCTGATTAAGGGCTTCTTTAAGTGAGCAAACCACTTTCCAATGACATGTCCTGATGACCTGGGCAGGAATGAACCAGACTGATGGGTTTCCAATGCTGTTGTGAGATATAGCATGTGCCATGAACCACCCAAGAGACATGATTTGCCCCATGTTACTGAATCCATGACAGAGCAAATGCTGACAATGGGGGGCTTCCGCTCTTTCACAGCTTCTTCTATTGTGTCACAGCTCCCTCATCAGTGCATGACGCCCCCGTGAGATCACTGACAGGGAACCCAAGGCCTCTGACTCCCAGCTACAGCTGAATTTCATGGTTTTCACTGAGATTTTTTTTAAAGTTGGCTGAAATCTAACAAATATTTCTTTGTTCACTACATTTTCTAACAGTGATCAGCATTTTAAGGTTCTTTCATACACTTCTGTCTTCCTTGGGATGGTCTGTGTAGAGTCCCTTAAGTATGGAAGAGCAAAAACCATTTTGAATATTTATCTTTCCTCTGGCATAAAGGAAAAAGTGCTAAAAGGTCCAGACTTATGTTTTAGGGAATAACTGCCTTTGATGGCAGTGCAGAGCATGCGAGTATGTTCTGTGATGTAATGTGATGTGGTGATGTGATGTGACATGATATGAGTTCAGTAACCTTCCTATTGATGAAAAGGTGTGAGTAGAGCTAGTTGGGTTGTACAGAGAGGCTTTAGGATCAAATGGGAGGTTGATGTAAGCGACCTCTATGGTGCCTTCCAATCTGGAATTCTGTAATTCCCTTGGATAGTTATATAAAATCCTATGGTGCTAGCAGGCAGTGAGGGTGGGGGCCGTCCAGATTTTATTTTACATCTGGAGGGAGGATAATTGTAATACCAGAAGGATAACCATTAGAGAGTGGGGATTGTCCAAATTGATGGGGCATAGGAGAGGGGTAAATGGGCAGTCACTTAGCCAGAGCCTATGAAAAGGGGTATGGAGACTGACAGGGTAGTTAGAAAAGACAGTGGATTCTAAGCTCTCTTGGTTATAGACTTTGAGAGGAATCAAAGTTTTGCTTGCAATAAAGCATGCCTCTGGCTCTTTCCTGTTGCCTAAAATCTCTGTCACTATGAATAATATCTCTATTGAGCAGTATCTCCAGGAGGCTGTCCTCAAAATGAACAGAGGGCTCCCTACAATCGGAGATCATGTTAATTGGTTCATATCTGGCAATACCTCACATATTAGGTAATCAATTTCTCTCTCAAGTCCCTAGCATCCCTGGGTGCTTATAAGGTCAAGTAGCTCTTTTATAGATTTCTTGAAAATTCCTACATAAAAATCATGTCACCTGCAAATAAAGACAGTTTTCACTCATCCTTTCCTATCTGTCTGCCTTTTATTCCTTTTTCCTTGCTTTTTTGCACTGGCTAAAAGTGAGTAGAGTATGAAATAAAAGTGATAAGGGTAGATACCTTGTCTTGTTCCTGATCTCAGGGGGAAAGCATTTAGTCTTTCACCATTAAGGATGATGTCAGCCGTAGGCTTTTCATAGATGCCTTTTTTCAAATTGAGGAAGTTTCCTCTATTCCTAGTTTGATGAGAATTTTTATTAAGAATAGGTGTTGAGCCCAGCCTGTGTGGCTCAGTGGTTGAGTATCGACCTAGGATCCAGGAGATCGTGGTTTGATTCCCAGTCAGGGCACTTGCCCAGGTTTCGGGCTCAATCCCCAGTAGGGGGTGTGCAGGAGGCAGCCAATCAATGACTCTCTCATTATTGATGTTTCTATCTCTCTTTCTCTCTCATCCTCTCCCTTCCTCTCTCTGAAATCAATAAAGACATATTAAAAAAAAAGAAAAAAAAGAATAGATGTTGAATTTTAGGAAATTCCTTTTCTGCATCCATTGAGATGATCATGTGATTTTCTCTTAAATTGTTAATTTTGCTGCATCACCTTGACTGAATGATTCAGTTTGGGGCTCTATTCTGGGATGCACTTAAACTCCTTGCAGATCAGTCTAATCCTTTCAAAGCTTATTTTTAAGCATTGTTATGATGGACCCAGAGCAGCCTTGAATCTTGGGCTTATTTAGCCCCACTACTAAGACAAGACTTTTCCAAGGACTCTACCCCACATCCTGTCATTTTCTGAGACCCCTCTGTATTGACTGGTGGGAATGAGAACTTCCCCTGTGCAGGCTCTGAGAGTTGTGTAGTGAAGTGCTTCCTGTCCATTCTTTCCCCCATCTTGCATCCTGCACAAATCACTACTTAGCCAAAGAATCCAAGTTCTGAAGTTCTCCATCTCTTTGTGCACAACTACCTCCTTTCTTATATTCATCTCACAACTTCTAGCCACCTCTATGTCCCCAAACTCTTGTTTTTGTTTCTTCACCATAGCAAAATTTCCAGGCTCTGTTTGGGCTCCACTCCCTATGCTTCCTTTCTCCGAGGGATCAGAATCCTGAGCTGCCCATAGAGCAGCGCTGAAAGAGGTCATGGCATACATGTCAACGGTTTCTGTGTGTGGTGGGGCTGCAATATCTGTAGTGATGGCTCCCCAGGGGCAGAGGCAGAAGTTTCACACACTGCACTTTGTTCACACTATAACCATCCATCTTAATACCTGTCCCTAGAGCAACTTCACTTGTTTTGCTATTTGGAGTAAAGGCATTTTGCATCTGAATGCCACAGAAGGGGGCGTTGGTGATGGAATCAGAAGATCTCTGCTGCTCACTTAGCAGCATCAGTTATAACCACTGTAGGCCTTAGTTCTAATTTCTAAAAATGAGAGTAAGTGTCCAGCATCCACTCCAGTACCTTGTGAGGAATTAAACAAATAATGCAGATGACATCACACACGGTTGTAACACCAAGTCAGCCCCTCACAGTGCTCCGTCCAACCTGTGTGGAGGGATCGGACTTCTGATCAGGCCTTATGTTCTTGCTACTTTTCCTGTGACTGTCCCCCTTTGTGCTTCAGCCCTCTGTTCAGCCTGTTGTTCCAATCAAATGTCTCTAAAACTATTCCATCAGAGCCCCCCAGAGATACTGTTCTTTACTGGTGGCCACACTGCTGTCCTGAAGTGGTTCTGTATGTTAGCTATTTGGTTGTTGAAGCTGCTTCACTTTTAAAGTGCACCATGTGATGTCATGAAGTAGTATGTCAGAATTTCTTGCACAACAGGCTAATATATCATTGTTTTTCTCAGGGCTACCTGGAGCCACAGGAATCCCAGGGGAAAAGGGAGACCCTGGTGAACTGGGCTTGACTGGAAATGAGGGCCCGGCAGGGCAGAAGGGTGAAAAGGGGGACAAGGGAGATGTGTCCAATGATGTGCTCCCCGCAGGTAAGAGGCTGCGCTCAGGCCCTCTCCCAGGGTGCACAGGCCCAGAGACCTGCCCGGGTTTTATGCAGGGGCTGCTCTGGGTCCTGTCACCTCGTTCGCCATATGTGGCCACCTGTTCTGTTCTTTCAAAAAGGAGAAAAGTGTGCATGTTACCCCAATGTTGACAGGACCAAATCTGGGATCTAAGCAGAAGCAGGTCAAATAATTCAGGTCTAAACATCATGGTTGGATTAAATTAGGATGAAGGAAGCTTCCTTTTTCCAAATACCTATTGAATGCAGCACAGTCCAGAATGACGCATGTCAGCAAGCGATTTAACATGCTCCAGAGAACAACCAACAGAAAGCACAGGCATTTCCTGTCGCGATAGGGCCATCCTCAGGCCTTTATCCTAAGCCTTTGACATAGAGAACTGAGGCAACATGGCTGCTGATCGTCTTTTTCTGGTTTTCAGCCCAGATTAAAAGTAGATAGTTGGTGTCAATGGGGGGGGTGGGGAAGGTGCAGTGAGTCACAGAAAGACAATCACCTGGCAGAAAGAGTCGGTACAGTTGATGGTCACAGAGGAGGAGGCAGAAGGATTGTAAAAGCACAGTACTTTGGAGACCATTTCCATCATAAAAAGATAACTATCCTATTAATGTATTCAGTAAACATCTATCGAATATCAGAGAGCAGCGTTTATGAATTGGGGACTTTGCCAAGGACTAAGACTATGAATATAAAAATGAGTAAGACATGACATCTGTTCTCAAGACGCTAAGATGATAGATGTTCAGGATACTGACCCTGAATCCTTTGCCCATCCATCCATCAAAAATTTACTGAGCACCTGCTATTTGCCAGACACTGTGCTGAGACCAAAGCACCAAGGAAAGATCAAACTATATTTAGCATGCTTTGTTTCATAAACAGGGGAGGCTGCTATGCAAAATGCATAAAATTTAAGAAGTGTTTTGACAGGGCAAGGTACATGAATATACTTTGAAAATATAAGACCATGTCAGACTTCAGTTATGTGGGAAGTCTGTACAGCCAGAACACTGCATCCCCCTACACTGCTGAACAGGTGAAAGGTGATGACAAACCATCCAGAAAAGCAGCCTCCCTGAGTGTACCCTGATTCAGGAGACCAGGCGAGAGCTGAGTGTGGCCTCTGGGCAGAGAGCGGAGAAGGTGTAGTAGGGTTGGATCATGTCTGCCCTGCCCATGGCCACAGACTTGCCTCTAGCCTCCGTGACCCCTGCTGGCTCACTCTAAAGAGACTGAAAAGGTTTATTTGTTCTGACTGGAAAGCGGCAGCTAAAGAGACCTTAGGTCACCAATGTGAGCCTTGGACAGGTGGGTGGAACCGAAGGGCTGACCAGCCCAGCCCAATGGCATCTTTATGAGAGCTCTAGATACCAATGGCTCCTGCAGAGGGCTGCACCCATATTGGCACCTGAGGCTAGAGGAATGTCTGCTTTCAGGTTTGTAGGGTTCCAGCTGGCAGACACTCACCCCAGTGACCCCAGTATGACCTCAGTCATTCTCAAGAGGCAAGGTAAGGAGCCTGAGACTCAATCTGGAGATGGAGGAACAAGCTCAGCAGGGCCAGCTGCCTGCTCAGGGTCACAGACCTGGACAGCAGCTCCTTATATCTCCTACCACACAGAGCAGTGCTTCTCATACCTGGCTGCACAGGAGGAAACTTTAAAAAATACAGATGAATAAAAACAGTCACAAGGATATAAAGCATAGCATAGGGAATATAGTCAATAATATTTTAATACCTGTGTATGGTGCCAGATGGGTACTAGACTTAACAAGATGATCACTGTGTAAGTTATATAAATATCTAATACTATGTTGTGCATCTGAAACTAATACTATATGTCAACTATAATTGAAATTTTGTTTTAAATATTTAAAATATACAAATGACCCACCTCCCCACAATTCTGATCTAATTGGTCTGGGAGGGAGCCCAGGCATTAGAATCGTATTAAAGCTCCTTGGGTGATTCTGATAAGCAGTCAGGGCTGGGATCCACCCACATCAGCCAGTGAAAGAAGGATGAGTTTGGAGTGAGACACACCTGGGGCTGTGTTCCAGCCTATTCAAGTTGTGACCGCTGGCAAAGCACTAAACTTCCCTAAGACTGAAGTCTCTGAGAGGCTGCTACTTCACAGAGCAGCTGGGAGGAAGCACAAGGAGATTTATAAAGTTCTTAGCACAGTTCCTGGCACATGGTTGGAGCTCAGCCCTTGCTATGGGAGCTTCCTCAGCTCCTGTTGGGGGACTGCTCCGCCAGCCTCCCAGGAGGCACTCATGATCTTTTCCCTTTGTGTGAAACTCAGCTCTGATTATGGCTCTTTAATCAATCTCCCCCAACCTTCTTCTCTCTCTCCAGGTGCCAAAGGTGACCCAGGTCCACCAGGCCCACCTGGGCCCCCAGGCCCTCCGGGTCCCCCAGGGTCCCCTGGAAGCAGAAGATCTAAAGGCCCTCGGCAGCCAAATATGTTCAACGGCCAGTGCCCAGGTCACCAACCCCTGCCCAGGGAACCTGCCTCCCCCATTAACAGTCCCAACTGGGACTTCTCCCAAGCTTTGTGACTGGAGTTTTTAAACAGAGGGAGGAGAATTCATCCAAAGCCAGATTTTATCCAGGGAATTCCCCCTTGGAACATATTTGTGGGAGGCCTGAGCAGTCTGTCCCTGGGACGAGGACTGGTGGCAGGTTTAGAATTGGGCCTCCTACCCCCTTCCCTCATCTCCTTACCTTCACTTATCACCAAACTATTCCTCTTTCTGCCAAATTCACTATCGCTCTCCCTCAAAATAGTCTCTCGGCTAAGCTGTTCACTTCTGGAGTATAAAGGGCTTGACTAACGCTAGAGGAGATGATGGGGAAGTTCAGACTGGTTACCTCCCCAAAATGCTACACCACCACCATGGCCACCACTAAGCTCTAAGTGCTAACAGTGTGCCAGGCACGGTGCCTACTGCTTAGTTCATTTAATTCTCACAGCAATCCTAGGATTTAGGAATTGTTATTGTCACCAATTTACAGACTCAAAACTGAAACACTCAATAGTAAGTGGCAGAGCTAGGATTCAAACCCAGGTGTGCTCGACTGTAAGGCCCCTGCTCTTAGAGCACCTTCCATTCGGAGACAGAATTCACGCTTTGAGACTCAGCCGAGCAAGGGCAAGGAGGCCAAGAGGACTGTTGTGTGGCCAGTTTGTGATAGGCGTGGCCACAGGACTGACAGCTAGTTAGCAACCAAGATCCACACTAATGGAAAATGCATCTAGGGTGATGCTGCTTCTTCCCAAAGGCGGTGACCTGGGATCTGCTCACCTACTTACTTAGGCCATGAGGGGGCACAACTTGAGGCTGTTGCTTCAGTGGCAGACAGGAGTCCCTGGCTAGAATGTGTCACACTGCCTGTGGATTTCACAGCTGCTTTCCTAAACATCTTCAGTTCTCTTTGCTGCACTGCTTTTTCTGGAAGGAACTTTGGGGGCATGCACTCAGCTGTCAGAGTGGGCAGATCTGTGCTGTCAAAGATGTTACACGCGTCCCCCCTTCCCCAAATGGAGCCTGATGATAATTCTCGCAGCAGTCCGCTGCTCCTTCGCTGGCATTCAGCACCACCCCCTCCATTAGCATCTGCCCTTTGTTCAGCTTCCCTTGGAGAATGAGCTGAAGGGACCCTTCCCCGAGGAGGGGAGGTCCGACCTGAGCTTGTGGAATTCTCACTCGCCCAGGCTCTGCCATCCAGCCAGTGCAGGGGGGGCCAGGAGAGGCACTCTCTCTGCCCGCCTCACTCCTGAGAGGCTGGTCGGTGGGGCTGGCCCCAGAGTTGAGAAGACCAAGCTATGAAGGTTTAAATGGGAGGTCATTGTCTTCCACTCTGCCCCCAAGAGATGCGTCCTCAGTTGCCAGGCTTTCTGCATCTGAACTTGGCCCTCTCTCCTGCTGCAATTCCATTTCTTTAACTCCCCTCCCGCCCCCACAGCTTCAGAAGCAGGTTGGTAAACAGGAATTAATGAGAGCCTTTTCTTCGAACTAAGAACAGGAGGGTCTCCCTGTCCCTTTCGTGTACAAAGCCCAAGCTCCTGAGGGGAACTGTATGTGGGGGAGTCAGCACAGACCTCAGGGGACAGAAGGACTTCAGAGGAACACTGGCTCATCCAGCTAGAAAGGAGCTTAGAGATCGTGGAGAGTCCGCCCCCTGGCGACTGCTAAGGACACATCTCCAGGCTATTCTGTGAGCTTCCTCGCTGACAGCCAGGGCCAGCCAAGCGGCTGCTTCCTATCCAGCAGCCACAGGGCGAACCCACCAGAATGGCCTGGATTTTCCCAGAGAGCCTGATTTGCCCCAGCCTGCCCCAGACCAGGGCCCTTACTCCAGCCAGTCCATGCCCTCTCATCTTCCCAGTGGCCATGTCCCTCCCCTCCTGTCCTGCTTCTGCCACCCTGAGCCACCTCTTCACCAAAGGTCTGAGTTAAGCCCATTTGTTACGGGAACAATGACAAACTGAGGAGGATGGGTTCCAGCTCCGGGGTAGCCTCAAATCTAGTGTGAATGAGGTGTCCATCAGGGCCCTGCGTGCGGAGGCCTCCAAGCAGAGGCGGCGGGGAGATAGTGGTGAGGGGCTCAGACTTCCTGGGCCAACCTGCCTCAGGCTTTCTCCCTCTGATTCCTGCCCCCTGCAGTCCAGGAAGGAGGGGTAAGGTGGGCCCCTCCTAAGGCTGCGGCCTCACACCTCTCCATTAGCTTCCCTGAAAGCAAAAATCCTTCCAGAAAGTTGCAATCGAGATAAGTAATACCACTTGCCCCGGAAAGCCAGGAAAACATCAGTGAGCCTCTCTTCCCCTCAGATTGCTGAGGGCCGACTGGGCTGGCACAACCTGCTTTTTCCTCTTTTACTGGCACCTTCTGGGGATGGTACCATCTTAGCAACTGTAGTCATGAAAAGCTAGTTGGAACTCACCAATTAGGGAAATTTTGGAAGTGTACTACTTAATGTTGCTTAAAAGCAAGCAACAAAAACACTTGGTGGGCCTATTGTAAGGGACACTGGTGGGCCTAGGGTCTGGATTGAGGTGGGGGAAAGCCCAGTTGTAGTCATACACGCTCACTGTGCCAACTACATTTGCCCTGATTGTTGTTGTTATTGTTTTAGGTGAGACATGTGCTATCCCCAATGATGATACCTTGGTTGGAAAAGCTGATGAGAGAGTCAATGAACACCATTCCCCACGAGCGGGTATAGAAACAAAGCGTCCTATTTCGAAATTCAGAAATTGGATGCCTTAAAGTCATAATTGGTAGCTGGGTAACTTCCTTCTCTCTTCTTTTGGTAGAATCCACGATCACCTCCATTGGAAACGCAACACAGGTGCTAAAGGTCACGGAGACATTTGGGACCTGGATCCGAGAGTCTGCTAATAAGAGTGATGAACGGATCTGGGTGACTGAACATTTTTCAGGTACCTTCGCTTAGCAGGTGATCTGTATCTGTGCTGTCACGTGTCTTTCCACTGTTGCCCACCTTCAGGCTGATTCTCTTTGTGTCCGCCTGAAATCCCTGCTATTTGGTGTAACAATTGCTCTTTATTTTAGGAAACACAAATGAGTGGGCAGAATACTTTCCTCCTTTGAGCACACTGACGGAGAACCTTGCTGTTCGGGTCACAGGGACATGACCAGGGCACCCCCAGTGTAGCCTATCCAGGCAGAGTCTCCAGAAGGAAACAAACAACACTGGGTTATGACTGACGGCCTCATAAACCCCAAACACTAAGCCTAGCCGCCTGTCTCTGAGGTTGGCACCGCCCCCCCCACCCCCCGAGAGCACTTTTGGTCACCTTTCTCAGATATCCGTTGGACAGAGAGGCCAGGGGAGGAGGTGAAGTGCCACCTCGCAGGGACACTGCTCCTGAGCATGACCCTGGTCATGCTGCCCCAGGGGGATGTGGTCATGTCGTGGTAGCAGCGGCCTCATTCCAAAAGGGGTCTGGGTGTGCTCACCGGTTGGAGCAATAGCTGAGATACGCGGCTTCGTTTCATCAAGGCCGCCTGTCCAGCTGGTAGTGACCGCCCAGACCGCCAGCTGAGAAGCATTCTGGGCCCAAAAGAAAAGGGAATAATGTGAATTAGCAGTGGGCGCCGTGGGGGAAGCAGGAGGCAGGAGGGCACTGAACAACTGCGAGGCATTCGCTGTTCTTGGTTTAGGCCTGTGTCAGTCTGATAGGAAAGTTTATAAACAACCTAGAGTGGGACCGAGAGGGGTGACACAGTTTTCCTGGGAGGAGCAAAGCCGACTCTGTGGCCATTGCGTTCAAAAGACAAATCAGAATCCAAAGGGAACTGGACTTCAAGTTTGGGAGTCAGACTCTTCAAGCTGGACAAGGACCCTTATAGGACATGTCCCTCCAGCTTCCCTCCTCTTACCTTCCTCCCCACTCCCTCCCAAGCTGCGGTTGCCAGGCCAGAGGGCAGGTGACAGCCTTTCCGGCTTCCCCCGCAGGCATCAGGGTGAAGGAGTTCAAAGACCAGGCCTCGCTGCTGAACGGCAGCCACTCGCTCATCCGCCTGCCCTATTACTTCCACGGCTGTGGGCACGCAGTTTACAACAACTCTCTCTACTACCACAAAGGAGGCTCCAACACCATCGTGAGGTGAGTCACCCGGCCCCGCAGCACCTTCTCACGCATCCCGGACAGCACCTGCTGTGGTGCTTTGGTTACCCACGTTCCCGCCACTTTATGTCCCCGGGGCCTGGCACACAGTCAGAGGTCAGTCAGGGTTTGCTGGCTGAATGACCACAGGACATGATGAATGATCCCATGTCCCAGCCCCTGTCTGGGGTCTGCATTCATTGCTGGTCTGAGCACCAAGAGTAAGGTTGGAGCCAGAGAGAAGGAGACCTGCAGTGGTCAGAGGTGCAGCTTTCTCAGCCTCTGCGAAAGGAAGCAGCCAGAGCCCAGAGATCCCCCTGGCAGGAAGCTGTCACACACCAAAATCAGTCCCTGCCAGTACCAGACAGGGACAAAAAGGCAGTCCCGGAGTCCAGCCATTCTGAGAAAGGAGAGCCCTGTGAGCTGAGGTGGGCAGCCAGGGCCTTCTCAAGCACCCTCCCCTCTGGTTTCTTTTCAAACTTACTTTGGAATTTCTTCATTGACTTCAAGTTTGTTATGCTCCGGTGCATATCCACAGATTCATGTGCTTCACTTTTCTGCTGCTCAATGGCACCCTCTAGTGTTTTTCTTTTATTTTAGCCTAATGTCCAAATTTTCATTCCTGGAGTCAGGTACCTCTTGAATCATAAATTACTTTACTATTCGGTCTAGATTTGGAGTTGGTCAAATCAGACAGCCTGCAGGAGTTGAGGGCATGGGATTCCACGTGTAGCTCCATTTCTCCAGTCACCCACCAGCCATGACTTCACAGCCATGACTTTGCTGCATCTCTTCCAGCTGGTGACTTTCTTCTTAACGTAGACTGCTGTGAAATTTTTGACTTAGAATTCCAGCATGGTGTGGACGAAAAAGCCCCAATTTCAAACTCTGGCTCTGCAAATCACTTGTATTCCTGGGCCAGTCACATCTGCTTTTTCACTTGTAAAATGAAAGGACTGGATTAGACCATCTTTCGAGGCCCCGTGTGGCTCTGGAGATCTTTGGGAGGGCATTTCAGGAGGTTGGCCAACACTTGAGGATTACTGAGGGGAAGGAATTTTCCTCGGGTCACATGGCTAGTAGGTGGACACTTAGATGGGGTCGCATCCTTTACACCCACTGCTCATAGCACTGGGATGACCAGTAGAACAGCATGACCTAGGAACTTACTAGAAATGCAGAACCACAGGCCCTGCCCCAATTTAATAGAGGAGCCTAGAAAACCACCCTTGTCCACAAAAATGGTGACTCATATCTACTTTTTTTTTTTTTTTTACACATTTCAGATTTGAATTTGGTAAAGAAACATCCCAAACTCTGAAGCTTGAAAATGCCTTGTATTTTGATCGAAAATACCTCTTTGCCAATTCCAAGACTTACTTCAATTTAGCTGTCGATGAAAAGGGCCTCTGGATTATCTATGCGTCCAGTGTGGACGGCTCGAGCATTCTTGTAGCGCAGCTGGATGCGAGGACATTCTCTGTGGTGCAGCACATCAACACCACCTACCCCAAATCCAAGGCCGGCAACGCCTTCATTGCCCGAGGAATCCTCTATGTCACGGACACCAAGGATATGAGGATAACATTTGCCTTTGATCTGTTAGGAGGGAAGCAGATCAATGCAAACTTTAATTTGAGAACTACTCAGTCTGTTCTTGCCATGCTATCATACAACATGAGAGACCAGCATTTATATTCGTGGGAAGATGGCCATTTAATGCTTTATCCTGTGCGGTTTTATCAGCTGCATTAAGCCAGTGGTGGAATGAATGCATTCTCTTCCCCCTCCATAAACTTTGGATGTTCTCTGACACCATTTCTATCCCAACAGAAAACTGTCTGTAAGGGTAGCCAGGTACTTAGGAGTGTGTATATGGTTGGTAAATGCCCTTTAAATTCAGATTCTTTAGGGGCAAATAACAGATTGTAAGTCAGAACGGCTGAGATTTGGTGATCCCTCCACAAACCAGCTGGGCAGGTTACCTCTCCCTCTTCAGGCCTTTGCCCTCCGGGGGTAATCTGAAAGCTGGTTAAGATGATGGGTAGGATTTTCTCTACCTGTAGGGAATTCTGTGATTCTTGGCTGTTGCTGCTCTTACAACTTGTATATATTTGGCTTTTGTTTTGTTTTGTTTTTAGACATGTGCTAAGTAAATTACCTCTGAGTTGATCAGCCCAATTGCTTGAGCAATGAATTCCTTAGTGCTGACTTATGCTTGGCGCCTCGGGAAGCTGCCCCGACCCTGTAAGGCTGCTGAGGTATCGTATTACCCGCATTTCATTACCTTTCTCTGCACCCGCACCTGCCGCCACAGAACCAGAATGGCCGTTATCCTCAGCTCCTGATCTCCTATCCGAGATTAGCAGAAGCCAGCAGCTACGTGCCCAGGTTTCCCAATAAAGCAGAAACAGGCCCTTCCCGGTTCCTGTCGATCTCGGATCCTGCTGGCTGCAGCCGCGGGTCATAAACTGAGTCCTCAGGCCTCACTGGCTTCTGCCACAGCTGGGTGTGTGCTGTCAGAGTACTAACCAGTGTGTGAGCGGGAATTAGTGAGTGGGAAAAGCTGCTCAGCACATGGCTAGGACTGTGGGAAGCACTCCACAGTTTTCAGAGGAGAGGCAGCATTTGTGGTTAACTGGAACAGGGATGGGCAAACTATGGCCCTCGGGCCAAAGCCCATCAACTGTGTTTGTAAATAAAGTTTTATTGGAACAGTTACACTCATTATAATTAGTCTGTGGCTACTTTTGCTCTATAATGGCAGAGTCATTGCAAAAAAGTTGAGTAACGACCCGCAAAGCCTAAAACATATACCGTCTGGCCCTTCACCCTCCCTTGATCTAGAACATACAGTGAGCCTGACTCTTGGGAGGCTTATTCAGCAGAGCCTGTTGGTTATGTTTTGTTCCAGACTAAGAAGTGGTCATTTATGTGGTTTGAGTTTTTGATAGAGGGAAAGGGTAAGGATAGCATAAAATTAAGTGGCTGTCCAAAAGGCAGTTAGTGAACTGCTCCTTCTCTAATGTAGTTCTAAAGGATGTAATCTGGTCCCCTTGAAAGCCAGGAGAAAATCCAGTTTAACTTGCTCTTAAATGCCTTTAAATTCGTCTGTTTTCTGCCAACTCAGTTCTTCAAACAACCTTCAGCCAGGCATGGCCTCTGAGAGTAGAGAGGAATCTCGGAAGTTCCTAGGGCCCTGCAGCAGGAGGGAAAACTAGAGGAAAATCTTCTGTAAAGATTTTTCAGCAATTTGCCTTCACTGAATACATGTGTGTTTTGGGGAAAAGCCTCTGCAACTTTTTGACTGGGGCTGAGACCATTCTCATTGACTCTGAGCCCTGGTTTTATACTTAGTAACGGAAGCATTTTAACACTTAGGGGATGTACAGAGTTAAATATTTAAATCTCTCCACCCCTGAAAATACCTAGGCAGTTAGGAGGGAATTTTTTGTTGTATTCTCAAAATAAGGGTATTTAAAATATTCCCCCCCCTTTTTAATTAGATTGGTTGTGTTATGTCATCACAGTTGTTTAAAAACACTTTTCAGATTCACGTTTTGTAAAAAAGTAAGTAGAGTTTCATGTTCAAGGCCAATGTGTAATGAGTGCCAGTCTTCTTTTAAAGTATTTAAGTATATGTGTTGCTGTTTCTGGACCCCGGGGACCTGGATATGAATATAATTTCATAATAATAGCCATGCTAGTAATAGTAACATACACAGCACTAATTGTATGTATGGTAGCAACCAAAGAGGTTAGTTATTAAATTAGTATATATTCCTTTTAAGGAAAAGTTCCAGAAACCCCAGTCTTGCTTAATTATCTGAGCTATCTTGGTTCCCTTAATTGTGGGTAAGGAGTTACATGCTCGCTCCTAGAGAAACTTGTGCTGGGTTGTGGTTTTTGTTTTTGTTTTTGCGATGGCAGAGTAATATAAGGACAACCGAGTCAGATCAAGATCTATTGGGTAATTTTATATGGTTGGAAGTTTGTCTTTACAGAGTGAAAAGAATTAAGATTTTACTCATTCTTTTCTGCAAGCAGTACTTGATTAAAGGAGAAAAAAAAAAAAAAGGTTTGGCCTCACTGCTAAAATAGGATGTACAATGATATATCTGAAGTCGATATATCATTTTAGCGGTTTCCACTGTCACTCGTTACCAAAGTTACTTTAAAGCACTTTCCAAATACCTGCCCTTCTGATGTCAGAATCAAGCCAGATAGTTCTCTGATTCTTCTGTAATCTAAAGTAGATAGCTTCCCACTGGAAAGTAAATAAAACCACCCATCCCAACCTCAAAGGTAGCTTGGACCCTATTTCAAAGCGTTTCTTTCGACTGATAAGGTGGTTGCGGCCTCGGCGTATCACTGGGCACAGGTGCCATGGCAGAGAAAGAGCTCTGGGGTGAAAGTTTTAAAAAGAGGAGCTCTGATCGTCGGCATGTTCACAGTCTTATTCCCCTCAAGGTTGCAAGGTGAAAAGTCAAATGAGACTAGTTCTTGAAGAGCCAGGTGCCATTTTCCAGCTGCACGGAACCCACTTGGGCTCTGTTTGATGTCGAACCATCTGAAGGAGAAGCGTGTGATAGGCTTTCCCATTCCATCCAGCTGCTGTGTGTGCCCTTGAGTATCACATCATTAAAAGCCATGTTTTCCTATCTGTAACCACAGATTCTGAACAATTCTAAACAACAAATGAATAACGGTGAATATCTCTTTTTTTGGTTGTAATTTATTTAACTTTAACCTAATTAGTCAATAAAATAATCATTGCTGAACACAATCACATGTTGAAACAAGTGTATTGTTATTTTTACCTCTTGCCAATTTACAAGGAACGTTTAAAAGAAAAAAACAACAGCCCAAAACAATATTGTGATAGAATTATATTGGGTTGCCCCTCTGCGGAAAGTGTGCAGTTTGTTAGCTCCTTCTGAATCCTGAAAACTCGCTGATATGGACTCTGTTTTCTCTATAGAAAAATGTGAGAAATGTAAAACTAGTAACTAGAACTAGTTATGCACAGACATAAGTGCAATAAAGATTTGCTTATTTATTGGCATAGGCAAAGCAACTGTAAAGGACATAACATTTGGGGCTAAAAATTTTAAAAAAACAAATTTTAAAAACTGGATTTGTGTGAATTTGGGCAAGTCTCTTAATCCCTCAAACCTGTTTCTTTTGTAAGTGTGGATAATAGCATTACTTAACCTCCATTGATTTTTCTATATGAAATGAGAAATGCTCTGAAAATAATATAATTTTTGATGAATTATAGTTGTTACTTTTATAGTTCATTCCTACAGGAAACCAGAGTGACCTGTTTTTCTTAAGGCTTTATTCAAGGGCTGGTCGGGGACATAGCATCAACAGTTTCTATCTGCTGGTCTGTTTCATTAGATAGTTAACACTTCACCTCCTCCCCTCCAAGAAAGGTCCTTTAGTTATACAACAAATTTACAATAAAAAAAAATTTAAAAAAGCTCAAGAACATGCTGTTTTGGCCTACAGAGCTTCTTTTTTAAAAAAATTGTTTTTATAGATCTCAGAGAGAGAGGGAGAAAGAGAGAGAAATGTCAATGAGAGAGAGTCATTGATCAGCTGCTTCTTGTGGGCAATCGAGCTGCAACTTGAGCATGTGCCCTGACTGGGAATGGAACCAGTGACCTCCTGGTACATGGAAAGATGCTCAACCAACTGAGCCACACTAGCCGGGCTTAGAGCTTCTTTATAACCTCTGGAAGTGTCTCTGTTAGCAGGTAGCCCAGGCATGTACTGCTGATGACTTTTCTCATTAAAATATAACAAAGAGAGAGAGAAGTCCACGAAGAAAATAGTAGTCTTGCCCCTTTAATTATACCATTCAGACTTTGCATGTAATGTTAAGATATCCAATGTTACAGCCATTCACTGTACGATTTAAAATAAGAATGAAATTAATCTGCTTTCCCTACAAGCACTCTGCTATGATCAGTCTCTAAAACTGAGCTACTTAAGAAATTGTGGTTAAACAACTTCTAAAATCTAAAATAGCTAGGTTCTTGTGTCCAGCAATCTGGCATTGTCAGTGTCCCAAACTCATTTGCCAAGAGGCCACATAGGTAATCACAGGATTACAAAGGTCAACACTAGATGGGGCCTTTACAGAACACCCAACCCCACCCTCTCGCTTTAAAGTCTAAGAATGTGAAGCCAGCTAACTCACTCAGCACAGCATGCAGCCAGGAGACACTGTCTCCTGACTTTATGATCATGTTTTTCACCTCCCTCTGCTGCTTCCAGAGTAAGGATCTGGTCCTTGTTATTGGAAAATGAAGATAATTAACTTTGAATGTTTTTTTAAAGACATTCCTTTTTTAAAAGCTGGATCTAGAGGAATAAGCCAAACCCAGTCTAGTCAGGCAGCGAACACTCCTGCAAAGAAGTTGTCAGCCACTCACCATCCTCTGGGAGGTAGACACACGTGTCCAAGTCCAGCACCTGTGTTATTCCAAAAACAACCCCCCACTGAATGACCCTTCTAGGCCCGAGGTTCTAAAGACACCAAAGTAGCCACTACTTGGTACCTGCCATCTATATGCCGTGTCTCTTCTAGGCAGCTTCAGTTTGTGCACATTATTTCACTTAATCATAGATGCTCAAGTGGAGATGTCCTTAAATACCATCTATTCTCTCTACTCAGTGTTTCCATCCTCTCTACAAACGTGGTGGACACTGTGATTCACTCCCTGCTGCTTGGATTCTACATCGGGAGAGACTTTTCTTCCCTGGTGCTGGGAGTGCTGGCAGCTTGTAGCCTTCAGTTGTCTGCCCTTCGGGACTTGCCTCGGCTGCAGAGACCACTTCACCCAGGACACGTGCATCACAGTGTCCATCACATTTGTAGAGAGGATGGAAACACTGAGTAGAGAGAATAGATGGTATTTAAGGACATTTCCACTCGAGCATCTATGATTAAGTGAAATAACGTGCACAAACTGAAGTCCCCTCATCCAATGACTGCTCTCTGCGTGTGTATAAAGGCCTGGAAGCTCAACCCAACTTGGAATTATTCTCAAGGGCCATTCTGGTGCCAGAGTGCCCCACGGTCCAGCCACGTGCCCCTGGCCTGCGCTGCAGACGGACTCTTCCCTCGGCCCTTCCTGCTGTCTCCCTCCTTCCGCAGGTGCTGAACGAGAGCACCCTTTACTGAGCCCCTGCTGGCCAAACTCCACCTCGGCACTTGCGTCCTGGGAAGCCCAGCTGTTGTAGCGCTGCCCAGCTGGTAGCAGGTTGACCACAAAGAGCCACTGGGACAAAGAGGTGGTCCAGCTGTTAACACTCCCATTGGCATCTGGAATGGTGTACGTAAGCTAATGT